CAACATTTTGTACACCCTTTCTTGCGTTCTAGTTTAGACATGCCAGGATTTGGTACACTACCTCAAATTAGCTCTACATGCTGGCAAGTGATTAAAGTTAATTCATTAACATGAAGTTTAATTCATTAGACACTGTTTCTTTATTCAAATAAATTAGCGTCAATCCTCTAATGATGACGCATTTTTGTCAATGCGGTATTGTGTATTGTTTGTATTGTTTGTATGTGAGGTATGATGGCCCTAACCATACTTGCGACTATTCCAGCCTCCACCTCTTTTTCAACAATTATTCCTGCCCATTCTCTCGTTCTCTTCCCTTTCCGTAAGCCCATACAATAGACCAATTCACGAACTCCTTAACGCCAACTTTTTCTTCGGAATGGAAATTAAACTCCCAAAAAAATCGTTAGAATCGCAGTTTTTCTTCAAATCTCGTAATGCCTCACCAAAAACCCAGATATAGGGTGCATATACAGCATTTAGCGATAGGCCAGTGAGTTTTTCTGACTCTGATGATGTCCATCAGAGCATGTTTTCACAAGAGCCAAAGGAGATTGTCTCGGAAATGGAGTCAACAAGACATTTCCAGTTAAGCCAATTGAAATCTGGCCAAGAGGAATATACAGACCCCTTCTTGTAGGATGCGCCTTTTAAACTCTTCACACACACACACACACACACACACACACACTTTCAATCAAAATGGAAGTAAGTTCAACAGTGACGACGTGAAAGATTTCTCAAAACCCAACTTTTGTTCTCCCCTACTAGGATTACAGATAGTCTCAAACCCTACTTTTATGGGAAATAGTAATGTCAATAACAAATTCTCATTTGCTTATATTTAGATACATTTGGTTTCTGAGCCTATCAATGATCATTGAATAAAAGTATAGGCCTAGGGTAACTAAACTCTTATTCAGGATTTGTTGATATTCTCATTGACCTACTTTATCTTTATATAAGTAGATAGTCGATTATAATGACAAAATACCAGTTTGCCTAATCGTCGATTCAACTATCTAAAAGTGCTGTGGAGGAGGACTTATTTTTCTCGAAAGTAGCGTCTGCCCTATGGCTTAGCAGCACTCGTAGCAGTCTGGCGAGGCGGTAACGTGTCAAGAAGTTAATTCGAGCTATCACAATCTGGGTTCGATTCCCGCTGGAGTTGCTGATGAGACTAGTTCATGCGAGGTCGAACCTGTGATCCAGTCCGGGCTAGACGATATGAGAAAAAGGTTTTGGAGGCAAGCACAAGTTCGACTCAATGACCTAAGAGGCCTTTTCATCAGATTGTGGAAAAACTCAACTATCAGTCCTTATAAATCGTCTCAAGCGACCAAAAATTATTAAGTTTTATTCAAAAATTGTTGATAGTATTTCTCATCTCCCTCCCAGACGGTCCATTCAACTTATCTCCTGCGTCAAAATTAAGTTCGGTTATAAAAATATTTTTTTAGCCCACAAACTATGAGTTGGGAAACTCTAAGTACCCACTTTTTGACTGAAGACCTGCTCTACTCACCAGAGTCTGATAATAAGTAGTATAATTGTGCGACAGAAATTTTACAATCGCTTTGGCCAAATCTGCAACTCTGTAAGCTTCGTCATTTCAGGCGAGGAAAAAGGCTAAGGAATTCGTTTCCCATAAAAAAGCTGCAAAATGCCGTAAAAGGATTATTATATCCTATTGACGCTAAAAGATATCACCCAGCTTAAGGGATTCTACAGAAAGGAATGCAACTTCGTTGCTTGTAGCTTATGCGATGTTAGTCAATTTCGAGCGTTGTGTAGAGTGCAGGCGTCGTTCGAGGAAAAAGAAGGCTTAATCCCATTCGGACGGACCAATCAGCGAAGCAAATGGGGCATGTGTTTGGGCGAAAAAAGAGGCTGAGAGAGAGGGAGAGAGAGAAAGAGAGGCAGAAATAGAGACATAAAGATAGAGTTGGGGGAACATAAATGTACAGGGCGCGACTTGGTCATAGCTCAAAGTTGTAAATAGATGGGGTCCTGCGGTCGAGAGGAGGCAAGGGTTCGAGACCCGAAGTGAAGCCAATGAGATGAGGCCTGTTCTGTGCAGAATAGAGCCGAAGCGAGCTTCGCCATCAACGACAGGACAAGCCGACATCATGTTTGAGGCAACATTTTTGCACATTTCGGTTTAACCAAAACTGGATCGCAACCAACCAAGTCGCGTTAGAGACACTTTTCTTCGGCTTCGGCGTAAGTGCGTTGAGTTTTCATCTCAAATGCTGGGCACCAATTGCTGCAATCCCTTCGAAGTGAGCAAATAGAAGTCACCAGATCTGTCCATGCGCTGTGAATATTCACTATTCCCACCACTTTTGCCTTGCGGAGCCATGGAAATATATGCTCGTTTAGTTGTTACGCATCACCTAAAATGTGTG